AGAACAGTCCTGTTACAATAGGGGCTACAGTCCCAGTACAGGAGAACAGTCCTGTTATAATACGGGCAAATTGAAGTCGGGGGAAATTAATTCTTCTCGTTGCCTTGGAGACCAGAACCTTTAAGGTACAGCCTGTCCGCCCACCCATTTCTTCTTGCCACCCAATGGCGTGCGTCCACACGGCGCTGTGATTGGTGGGCTGAGGAAGAACAACAGCGGGAGAAAGAGCGAGTGTGCTCGTGCGTGAGGGGGGGGCGCGAGCCTCAGCCGTCCAGCTTCGCCTTATTCTGCACAGTTGTCATCCACAGACCCCCGTCCCCAAATCCTTCCTGTACAGACAGATCTTTGTAATTTCACCCGACAGTTACGCATTAGGGATATCTGATCAAATCCGAGCTGTCCTGACCTCCTGTCTCTTTTTTTCAGGTTTCTGTTTAATTGATGTGACAGCTCGTTTTGTGGGGGGGTGGGTCTAGGCGCCGGTATGAGCGGCGGAGTGTACGGAGGAGGTAAGGAGCGACCGTTTCGTCTGCGCGCAAAAACCCGTTTCCGAGACGGGTGACACCTGAGGACCGAGGCTGGGAGATAAACCCCCCCCCCGTGAGCGAGACAGGGGGTGTGGGAGAGAGCGAGCGGGCGGACGCGAGCTTCGCCGCGTCCATGTCGTGCGACACTTGGCGTGTATCGCGACACCGGAATGCAGACTCGAGAGGCTGAGCAGCAGGATGATATACTGCTGAACGCGTCTGCCTCCGTGCCCGTGTTTACATCCGTGTCCGCATCGGTGTCTGTGGTCCAGAGCGGTGCTCGCGGCTGCCTGCGCCTTCACCCGTACCCGTGCCCACGGCCGTGTCTTTGTTCCACTGCCTGTCCACTGTGTCCGTGTGCGTGGCGCTGCTGTCAGCGGGGTCTCCGCCAGTGGCGGGGTCTGTGTCGCCGGGTCCGGGGGCGAGCGGGGCAGCGTGCGGCGACACAGGGGGACCCGCGAGGGGATGGGGACCCGCGTGGGTGACCTCCCATCGCAGGAAAAGCCACGGTTCCGTGGGGTCAAGTCCATCCCGACACGCGCGTGTGGGGAAACGGTGTCGGGATTGGGGAATGTCGGCCGCAGATGCGTTAAAGGAACGGAGTCTCTTCAGTGGTCTGCAGCGCTGTAGGGGACTATGAGGTGGGGCTGTTCAGGAATTCAACTGTCAGTTGCTGACAGCCTGAACCCAGAACATTGTTCTATGTCAGGAACACGACGGCACAACCGGATGTGTAATAATAATTAATAATTGCTTACACTTATATAGCGCTTTTCTGGACACTCCACTCAAAGCGCTTTACAGGTAATGGGGACTCCCCTCCACCACCACCAATGTGCAGCCCCACCAGGATGTGTAGACAAGCCTGAGAACAGGGAGCACATCCTTACACAAAGGCTGGTGAGGGTGTGGAACAGCAGCCCCAGCGCTGTTGTTGTTGTTGTTGAAGGAGATTCCCTGGAATCCCTCCAAATCATCCGGATGACTTGGGGAAAGAATGGCTATTGAGCAACCCAACTCCCGCTGTCCCTTGCCCAGCCTGTGACTGTTGCTCCAGTCATGTCCAACTGGGCTAAACTGCAGAGGACCAGTGACGAGTGGGAACACTCACCCAGCAGGCTGGGGTCCCCGGGTTCAGGTTCAGGCAGGATCGGCTGGAGCTGAGCATGGGGCTGATTCCTGTCAGGGTTCAGGGTTCGAGGACCACTTGGTCCCAGCGAGACAGAGAGCTCAGCAGCCACACCTCCTTACCTGCAGCTGAGAGAGGGGTGTCTCTCTCTCCCTCTGCCTGTCTCACTCTCTCTCCCTGTCTCCAGGTGAGCCCCTGTCTCTCTCTCCCTCTGCCTGTCTCACTCTCTCTGCCTGTCTCCAGGTGAGCCCCTGTCTCTCTCTCCCTCTGCCTGTCTCTCCCTCTCCCTGTCTCCAGGTGTGCCCCTGTCTCACTCCCTCTCTGCCCGTCTCTCCCTCTCCCTGTCTCCAGGTGTGCCCCTGTCTCACTCCCTCTCTGCCTGTCTCTCCCTCTCCCTGTCTCCAGGAGTGCCCCTGTCTCACTCCCTCTCCCTGTCTCTCCCTCCCCAGATGAGGTCGGGGCTCTGGTGTTTGACATCGGCTCGTTCTCCACCAGGGCGGGCTACGCTGGCGAGGACTGCCCGAAGGTACCGCGCGGCTCCTGCCCGCTCACCCCTCTCTCCGCCCTGGCCATTCCTGCCCGGAGGATAAGCTGAACACTTGCTGGTTTTCCAGTGCCAGTCAGCCCCTTCCAGCACGCAGTGAAAAACCGCCCCCCCCCCGAGCAGTGCATCGTGATCCGTGTAGAACTGGGACTATGAGAAAAGTGGTTCACAAGAGTGCACGCCAGGGGGCACCTCAGGGCTGGGCTCTGTCTGGACGCTGTTACAGCCCCGCACGGCGGGCCCTGGCGTGAGCCTGACTTGTCCACGTCGCCAGCAGGGCGTTCCCCATGGCCTCTTGCCATGTGAGGTCCCAGCCCCACTGCGCTGCAGTGGTCAAGCTGCCTCGCTGGCCCTCCTCCAGCAGCACTGCCGTTCACCTCGTACCCACTGTCCCCTTCACCCCCTCCCCCTCTCTGTCTCTCGCGCTGGCCTCACCTCACCCCCCCCTCCCTCTCTCCTTCTGCCCAGGCGGATTTCCCCACCTCCCTGGGAGTGCTGGCCCAGGAGGAAGGGGGCGCGGAGCTGGGGGCGGACAAGGAGAAGTCGTCAGGACGCACGTTCTACATCGACACCAACGCCTTGCACGTGGCCCGCCCCGGGGTGGAGCTGGTGTCCCCGCTGAAGAACGGCATGAGTGCGTGATGCCGCCTGCCCACGACCCCACTGCAGCTTCATCAATAGGAGCCATGTACCTTCGAACCACAGGGGGGCTCCCCCTAGTGGCCAGCCGGGGAAAACACTCTTTCCGAGTGTCGCTCCTGCAGTCTGCACTGATGTGTCCTACTCAATATATAATATCATTACATATTAATATACAATTAATATATAAAATATTAATTATATATCAATACATAATCATACTAATATGCTTTGAACTGAAAATGATACATACGTATACTTATCTATACTGAAAATTATATGTACAGATACTGATAATACTGGTACTGATCTATATATACTGAAACTATGTCGAGATTTGAAATATGATAGTAATACACACGGAGACTAGTATGTACAGAAACTGGTACACACCGAAATTGACATGATCAGGTACTGGTAATACACTGAAGCTGATATGTACGGATACTGAGACACTGCAGTACTGATCCAGGCCTGCTCCTACAGCGGTCACGCTAATGACGCCGGCGCTGTCGATGCTGTTTGTTTGCAGTTGAGGACTGGGAGAGCTTCCAGGCCATCCTGGACCACACGTACTGCAAGCACGTCAAGTCAGAACCCAGCCTGCACCCCGTGCTCATGTCAGAGGCTCCTGTGAGTACTCGCTCCTCAGGCCCTCAGCCGCACAGCACCGCTCGTACCGCCAAAAATGCCCTCGCTGCCCCGGGAAATACCGCTCCTCATTCTCATTCTGGTCGCATCTGGCGCCACCGGCGCTACCAGGAACGCAGCTGCTTCCGAGAGGACTAGGGCCGAATCCAGTGGTAGTGGCTGACAACAGCCGTGCTGGTGGCGGCAAGTGTTGGGTTGTGTGCTGAGCCCGCGGGTTCTGAGAATGACGCTGATGTTACTGCCTCTGTGTGTGTGTGTGCCAGTGGAACACGCGAGCCAAGAGGGAGAAGCTGACGGAGCTGGTCTTTGAGCACTACAATATCCCAGCCTTCTTCCTGTGCAAGACCGCCGTGCTCACCGCGTATCCTTCACCGTGTGACCACCTGCGTCCACCCGCGTCCGTCTGTGTCCAGCTACGTCCATCAGTATCCACCTGTGTCCATCTGTATCCACCTCGGTTCAACTGTGTCCATGTGCATCCACCTGTGTTCACCCGTGTCCAGCTACTGTATGTTCACCTGCGTTCAACTGATTCCAACTGTATCCGCCTGTGGCCATCTACATTCACCTGTGTCCATGTGCATCCACCTGTGTCCACCTGTATCTATCCGAATCCACCCGTGTCCACCTGTATTCATCTGTACATGTACGCATCTGTATGTTTAACTATATCCTCCTGTACTCACCTGTGTGTCCACCTGCGCATCAGTCAGTGACTCCTTGACACCGCAGCAGGTTTGCTAATGGCCGAGCGACAGGTCTGGTATTGGATAGTGGTGCCACACACACTACCGCCATCCCCGTGCATGATGGGTATGTTCTGCAGCAAGGTGTGTATCGTACCTCTCAACTGCACACACTGGCCAACCTACCCAAATGCATGCTAACAAACTACACTACATCATATACACTGGTAAATTATACAACATGCCACATGGGCAAACAGGAACCTCTTTTTACACAGACATACAGAAATACACACACTACTTGCTGACTTGTAGTGTAAGTGGTTCGGTGTATGTAAGGTGAGTGAAAGAATGGAGTGTGTGAGTGTGTCTAGATGTGTGACTGCACCATATATATGACATATCTGACTAGTCCAGGTATGTGATTGATTCTGGTGTGCGACAGGTCAGGTGTGTTGTGTGAGTAGCACAGGAGTGCGACAGGTCAAGTGTGATGTGTGAGTAACCCAGGTGTGCGACAGGTAAGGTGTGTTGTGTGAGTAGGCCAGGTGTGCGACAGGTCAGGTGTGTTGTGTGAGTAGGCCAGGAGTATGACAGGTCAGGTGTGTTGTGTGAGTAGCACAGGTGTGCGACAGGTCAGGTGTGATGTGGGAGTAGCCCAGGTGTGCGACAGATCAGGTGTGTTGTGCGAGTAGGCCAGGTGTGCGACAGATCAGGTGTCTTGTGTGATTATGCCCAGGTGTGCGACAAGTAAGGTGTGTGACAGGTCAGGTGTGTTGTGTGAGTAGCCCAGGTGTGCGAAAGAGCAGGTGTGTTGTGTGAGAAGCCCAGGTGTGTGACAGGTCAGGTGTGTTGTGTGAGTAGCCCAGGTGTGTGACAGGTCAGGTGTGTT